GAGATATCAATTCTACATACTCAAGAAATCTCCTATTACTATTCTTCCTTTTTCTGATTTGAAGTTTAAAAGCGATTATTTTTAATACTGTCTCATTCTGGGCAAGACAGTCGGAAGCGAGCCAAAGGGTCGGCTTACTTTCTGGAAGAAGTAGCTGCTACTGTGATCATATCCGCTCAAGCAAGCCCGTCCCAAGCCGGCCAAGCAGTTGCTTTGAATCGGATTGAATTACTTTAGTATAATCTTTAGTATAATTAAGTATAATTAGTATAAATAGATCTTTCCCGGGGAAATAGCTTGTTGCACGGGTCATTTCATTGAGTTATAGTTTCGAAAACCCGAGTAATCCAGACCAATGGAATGAATAATGCATAGAGTTAGGAAGTGCTTGTTTTAGTACTTCTGCCTCATACTTCGAAGTATGGTGAGAAGGCTATTGATCATTCTAGAACCGAACCGACAATCAATCTATTCATTCATACCTGGCTAAAACACTTCCCATTTTCCATATCCCACTGCTCATGAGTGAAAGTTCGCGCTCCATCAATGACTCTAAATTTCTACAAAGATGTATGTGTATGTATATGTAAATTTTCCTGAGATTAATAAAAGTTCCCCCCTTGGCATGACACCGCCCAAAAAGGCCCGTGATTTTCTCCTAATTTGGGTTTCCACGTATAAATGCTTTCTCTCCGCTTTATTTACTTATTTATTTTTGGATTTTGCTATTCGGTACGGTGCTGACCCGATACCGAGTCCGTCGGGTCAACGCCCCCAAAAAGCGGTTTCCATCACTTACTCAAATTTATTAATTACTCCCTTCGTCACAAAAAATCTTTTCACTTTCATGTTTCATCCGTGCTTAAAAATACTCACTTTTCTTTAAAAGCTCTCTTTTATGTTTATTGATTATTAACTTATCTATCATTTCATGTCTATTCACTATTAAATTATCTATCACATCGTATAGTACCCTACTATAAAGTAAGAATAAAATTATAAAGTTTCCAAAATTACGCATTTCTTAAATCCCTCCTTTTCCAAAATATAAAAATTTTGTGACTCAAAGGAAGTGCTTTTTAGTTGGTATTTTAGAGCTCCAGTTTTAATTATAGATTACAATTAAGCAAGTGGTATTAAAAAAACCTGTACTTATTAATTCAAACCATGCATGTTAGGAGTTTAATAGGTTATATACATGCAATGGAAGACCCAAGATTCTAGGAATAATGGGATTGATTGAGGAAAAATTGCATTATACACGTAGATTAAAGAGTGTCCTCATTGCGTGCCGAAGCTATCATTGCGTGAAAAATTTCACGATCAATATAAAGAAAATAAATTCAACATATAATCGTGACATTCAAAAAATGAATGTGTTCTCAACCTTGAATGTCGGTGAGACCTCGATGGAGGTGTCATAACCGAAGCGAATCCAGACAGAGTACATGTCACAAATCCTAGATTAGAGATTTTTGTCATGACAATATAAGATCTCTACATGTTGTATATGACCAGTGTAACCTGCATTTATGGGCATGAAGTCTTGAGTGAGAGGGACTGAGGGTAGGAACTATCAACTTAAAAAACGAGACACCGTAAATGCCCGGTTGAACTGGTGAAAGGATTTGACACCAATACTAGACGTCTAGACTTACTCTATTTGTGTGCTTTTGTATTTGCCAAGTTATTTCAACAAGAGATTTCTTCTCAAGTCCGTTTTGGACATGCTACAAAATGGCTTCTCAAAACATGGTTTGTCTACGATCAATGGCAGACATCCCAATGTGCTGGTAATCACCCTTGCCTTCTTTAAAATTCATAAGATTCCATCAAATTGTCATTCACTTGCACTTACACTGAAGTCATCTGCAAATTTAGTGGATGGATGGTGTCAGTCTATATATATTACAAGACAACAAGTGGATGCCATAGAGATTATAGACTAGTGACACAAGTGACCAACTTTATTATGAGTGAAAAACCTTGGGCATAAGCCACAAAAGATCCAGCTTAATTTTGACACATAACTGAATAATAATAATAATGAAACTACAACTAAAAAAGAAAATGAATAGTAGCAAACCAACCACAGTTAGGGAGGAGGGATTACAGGTCAAGAACAAACAAATCAAATAATCACTCTACTCTTAGCAACCGCAAAGTGCAAACTACTACTGTCGGTAAGAGCTGTTATGACTCGTCTTCGTATACAATAGGCCCGGGGGGAGGGTGGCTAACATAAGGTCCACGACAACGTCTGGAACCCAGGGTCCATTGGTGGGGTGGTGGTACACATTCACTTGTGGGAACTGTCATGCCCATCAAATCTGCGACGATTTTGGGACCCACCCACCCACGGCATCCAAAGTTAAAAAGAGTGATCACCAACCAGTTTTGGCGCGTTTCATTCCGGTTGAACTGAAAGGAGATAAACTACCCCTTGGTTGGGGGCTCTCTTCTCTGAAACTGTTGTTCAGCAAAGCCAGCTCCCTAAGCTGTTGTCTCTTGTACAAGTCTTGTGACTCATCCTGTGTTTCAAGACAAAATAATTCTTCTTATTATTATATTTATACCTAGATAAAAGCAAAAAAAATATCATCAAAAGGAGTCGAAGAATATCATAAGCCATGAAACTCTAGTCTTCACTGCTTCTATAATATGCCAAGATTAAAATTCATGCAAGATACTCCTACTCTCATTTCATATCCTCCTCTAGAAACGACACAAGACTTAAAAAATGTATAAACAGAGTCCCAGAGTTCATATGTTTAGAAAGTGTGAAAAGTAATACTCTCCGTCGCTTAATAAACTTTTGTGATGTTTGATCAAAGTTATTTTCGATTTATTTGAATATTAGTGTAAATAAGTAAAGAAAGAAGATATAGTTTGGCTGTATCAATAGCGAAGATGAAGTTTATTTAGGGGCAGTGGGAGTATTGAACAACAAACCAAATTTAAATACCCCGGAGTATATTTTTTAAAAAATTGTTACAGTAATTAAACAAATAAAGAAGAATTCCACCCATAATTAGTACGCCGTAGTATATAGGACAAAAGTATTACATTCTCAGGTTTAAGCAAAAAGAAAGAATGAAAAAAAGTGCCTGCTATATAAATTCAAATTAGGTTAGGATTAATTGGGGATCCGAGTGATCTAAGAAGAAAAAGTAAGGCATGAGCGCGAATAGTACAAACTACAATGGGTAACCAAGGTTGTATCTAGACGTGGATTCTTATAAAATTGAAGGGTGTTTGGCTGGTTGTAAATCTGAAAATTAAATTTAGAGTATTGTATTGTAGCCTATAATTGCTACTCATTCTTCTCTTATGTGTTAAGTTCATTGTTTTGACATATGAAATATTGAATCAACCTACATCATTTAGAGTAAAATAGCACACCACATTCAACAAATGCTTAAACAGTACAAGGGTGAATTGTGGAACTAAACAAATGGAAAGCATACCACAGGTTTGAGCAACTCTTCAATGATTTCCCTAGCTTGTTTTAGCTGTGAATCAATGATATTGATTGGTAGCTCTGCCTCAACCAAAACATGCAGTGGCTCATTCAGGTGCTCATAGCCTGGGCGTCCCCTTAAGCTATCCTCCTGGGATTGGACATGAAACTTCAGAAACCATGATTGGGAATATAATTTTCATCAGAAAATGAAAGTTCATTAAAAAGCAAAAATACATACAAACCCACCCATAAAGATTCAAATATAGTGAAACTTGGGTGAGGAATTAGAATTGATCTTGATCACTGATATAAAATGGGTTGATGAGCTCATTCTTAAAGGGAAAAAAATGTGACATCAATATTGTAAATATGGGTAACATCTAATAAATATGGTAAACAATATTTATTAAATATTCCTAAGTAAATATGTCAAAGTTTATTATACAGTGCTAAGCAATAAAAATGCATTGTTGTACACATAACAGTGCACTTATATAGGTGTTGATATTACACCTTTGTCCGAAGACAATTGTGCAAGACTGAAAAAGTGTGGCCACAGATTTTACCATTGCACATGAAAGCTACACTTATTTTAAAAAAAACAATAGGAAAAAAACAATCTATTCCATTCTTTTTTGAGTGATGAAAGGCCTGGACTCACTCTCACAAGAAAACTCTAATGGAGTTTTTTGTTCATTGTGTTGCACTTTTAAGTTCGAGAAGTGTGCTTTTATCGGTGCGGAAAACTGCTTTTTATTTACAAAATTGAATACTATGCTTCATATTGGATATTGAATACAATGAATTTTACCATTGCACATGAAACCCTTGGATATTGAATACAATGCTTCATATTGACTCATTTCTCTCATAAGGTGTCAATTCTTTATCATACACACGTACACACATATAAATACATAGACACGCACATACAAACACACAAACACACCCAAACATATATACGCACACGCATGTACACATCCAAACATGACAAACATATATATAGAGGTGGTTTCACTAGGTGCCACAAAAGTAATCATCCATAGAGGCTAAACCTCAATCATTAGATTTAAGAACAGTTATGATCATTCTAGGGTTAATTGAATGTTTGCATTAAAACTTGTGTGCATTTCATACTCCCTCTGTTCCGTAAAGAACTTCAATGCACAAACTTCAAGAAAAGTGTTGAAAAGTGAAAGATGTGATTAGAATTTGTATAAAGGGAAATGGTGTGAGCCACATATTTCTTTTCTTTACAAGGAAATGAGAGTGAAGTATATTTTGGGACATCTAGATAAAGATAGTGTGTAGTTCTTTGTCAGACAGAGGGAGTATTTGGTCATAAAAAATACCGATGCACTGGTACTACAAGTTTGTATAAGTGTAGTTTATAACAAGCAATGTACCTTGTCAGGATCTTTTATTGATCCCTTTCCTCTAATGAATACACGGCACCCGGTAGACGTTTCAACCCGCTTCAAGGAATTACCACGAGGGCCTAAAAGCCTGCCAACAAAGTTGTACTGTCCCACCTCAAAAAATAAAACCTGTAAGTTCTTCAATTCTATGTGTAGGTATATCTATGCATAATTTAATCTTCAATTCGACCTACATTTGGATATCTATCAACAGGTATATCCAAGCGTAAGACCCTCTTAGCTATTAAAGAACTTGGGCTTCCAGGTGTTGCTTGCCAATCAATTGGCATCCCCTGTGGCCCACCAAGTCTCTGCTTCAAAACAAATGTCACTCAATAATATAACCATCCAAATATTGACAGGATACATGAATATTATCAAATTTTAAGAGTAATGAATTTAAAGAAAATGGGACATTGGAACATTGTTCTGACCATCTCGTGTGTAATAGACAGTTCAATAAAGAGAATGTAGAAAATATCAGTCTCATCTTTGCTCATAGATATTTCGCGGCTGGGAGATTTTGAATGGCGGGATTGATCTTTGTTTTACTAATTTATTTTTATTTGTTAGTCTTAAGCTAGAAAATAAATACTCATATATTTTTAGTTTTCATATTGACTTTTTCCCGATAACCTAAGACTAAGTTTATGAAAAATGTAACCCACCAAAACAAGAAGTTAACTTAAGAAGTTAAGGTTGAACATTCCATCATAGCATGAGCAATCAAATTGGGAATTGAGGGACCCAAACAACCTCAAACTACATGGGAAATGACATGCATAGAAAGTTACTGTTGTAAACTTTTTTACAGTTCAAGGATGATACCCTACTATGTTCCAGTGAAAATCTTGACAAAAGCCTCACGGCATCAACACAACAGGAAAAACCAACCTCCAAGGATGATTTTGGAGAAGTTCAGGTCTCTACACTGGTACTAATGATAAAATGTAGGAGGTTTTGAAAATGTAAATTAGCAGTTAGCACCTTGAAAACCCTTAATGTATATGGAGTGTGTGGTATATATTTAGCGAAATTAGGACAGCAATGCCCTCACCTCCTGTTGAAGGCTTCCCCAGCCACCTAAACCTTTTCCTCCAATATCATGCATCATGTCAAGAGAAGCCATTGGTCTAGGACTTCCACGGTGCAATCTCTCAAAGTCAGTAAATCCTTGATTAGGAATCATCCCAGAAACTCTTAGTATTTCTGTAAATTAAAATTGAAGCAAAATTTTAAAGATATTTTAGTCTGTTTCTTGAGTATACACTCGCGGACAGTTTAGCATATTCTCTAGTTCATCTCCCACATTGTTAAAAATCAAATGCTCCTGAACTTATTCTTGAGTAAAATTTTACATCCAATCAAGTCATTCCATGAAAGAATTTATCTGGAGTATTATTTATCAATGAGAAGAAGGCATTTAGTTAGCAGATAAAATGCCACAAAAGGATTTCAACCACACACATATCAATTAATCTCTTACAACAACAAAAATGCAATACTATCTTCTACTGCAGTAGTCTCAATTGTATCTTATGAAATCCCAAAATCCCACAAATTAACAGTACAGTTAATTCAGGAGGCGTGGATCATTGCTAAGTGAAGTCAAGAAGGCTGGCACAAGAATAAAAACCGAATAAGCCCTCATATTCTCCCCTTTTAACCCAACCCATAAAAAGATACTCATGAGAATAACCCATGTGATACATTTAGTTTCTGCAAGTTACCCAGAAGTTAGACGGTAAAAGAGAAGTTAAGTTAATCAAAACAAGAGGTATATGGCCTACGAGAAGTCCAATCTGAGCAACTAGCCAAAATGAAAAAGAACACGCAGTACACTTTTGTCCACAACAGAAGCGCGTTTTTTTAAAAAAATAATTGAGAAGAGAGGAATCAATGAAAAGAGAATCCAAGAACAAAATCCCAGAAAGAAAACAAGGGAAAAAGGACAAACAACCTTGATTCAAGAGCCGGCTGCATATGGGAAGAACCTGCGTGAAAGGACCGAGCTTCTGCCGCTCCGCTAACAGCTCGGCCATGTACTGACTATACACCAAATCAAGAATATAAAAAACGCTGGTAATCCACAGACGAAGCAATCTAGTTCCGAAATCATTCAAAAAAAAATGTATATATAAACAGTCCATGAGAAATACCTATCAATATGCGTAGAAACAGCTCTGGCAGGGGAGAAATTGACGCCCTGGTGGTAAGGATTAGACATCAATAATTTCAATCTGCGGCGGACTGAGAGGGGAGAAGACCGAATGACAGAGAAGCGTTACAAATGCGGGGAGGAAGAAGAAGAAGAAGAAGCACGAGTGCGCAGTAAAACGGGAAACCCTTGAGGGAAAAATATAAAATAAAAAATAAAGTTGAAAGAGAAATGAATCTATGAATGGAGACTGTAATATATAGAGAGAGAGAGAGAGTGGGAGGGGGAGGAGCAGTAAAAAGAATGATAAGGAGAGGAGAAGGGCTTAAAATAATGTTTTTCTAATTTGTTAAACTTTAATCACTTTTTTTTTACGTATTTTCATTAGGTATTTGATAAAATAATATAGTCTTGTCACCACTTGTTTTGTAGAACTTGTTTTTAAATATATAAATTTTATTTTTTAATTTTACACCTACAATCAAATAAATTGAATTAAAAATAAAGTCGGTCAAACTTTGTAAATAAAACTGGGAATATCATTCTAAGGAGTAATAAATAGGGTAGGGGGGTGTTTGGGCCGGGTTGGTGGAGGAGGGTTTATCGGGGAGGTTAGAGGGTAGGAACCATTAATTTTTTGAACGAAACATCTAATGAATCTCGAGTCATCCTATGACATCGAATCTCAATGTCAAGGGAACCAAGTTGTACGGGCCGACGAGAGGGGCTCTCAAGCGGGCCGACCTCATGTTGCATACTTTCCACACACATTTATTATAATGTAAAAAGAAAATTCACATTTTTGATTTTTTTTGTTTTAAAGAAGGGAATAATCAACTAACAATATAGTGTTCTTTTCGAAGTGGTACGGTAGAAAATGATACTTCGTAATAAACTTTACTCGACATTAAGAGCATGTTCTTTAGGACTGGAAAAAAAGAGCTGGATGTTGGAAGAAACTGGAAGAAACTAGAAAAAAATGTAAAGAACTAGAAGAAACTGGAAAATTGGAAACAACTTGAAAAACCTTAAAAATTAAAAAACCTAAAAAAGCTTTAAAAAAATTATTTTAAATAATTGTTGTTATAAATTATTCTTATTATTATTATGATCATCATCATCATCACCATCACATTATCTTAATGAATGCCTTTAAGATACAAAAACAAAAGTATTGTTACTTTTCAAATACAAAAAAAACTACTTTTGCAAAAAAAAATTATAATATAAAGTTAGCATAAATGTAAAAATATTACATTTTAAAAAATTTTGTGGTTACGTTGCACCTATTTTTTCTTTCATGATTGATATTTTATTTTCATTGAAATCTTATTTTTGGAATAAAGACATAGAACTTTTTTTTTTACATTTTTTATGTTTTACTCCTATTTTAGTCTTTTCTCTAAATTATTTTGACTTTCAATTTTTTTTATAAAAATTAAAAAAATGAAAAAAAAAATTAAGTAATAAAGGGAAAGGTGAGAAGCCTTATTAAATAAAGTGAGATTAATAAAATATTCTATGTCACTGTTTTATCCATAATTTTTTAACATAGTTTAACATATTGACATTTTCTTGTTTTATCATGTAGATTAATATATACAAAAAAATTTGTCTTGTTTATATTAAAAAGTTGAAGAAAAAATAATGAGTGTGAATTGTAAAAACAGTGAGATGAAAAAAAATAATTTATAAATTATAGTTATGAACATAACAGTTGTAATAATAATAATAATAACATTAAAAATATATCATTTTTAGACTAATTGGTTGGGGAGTAGAAAGAGTTTGAAGAAAATGAGAATAGTTGGAAGAAACTAGAAGAAATCAGAAGAAACTAGAAGAAATTGGAAGAAACTCGAAGGAACTGGAAGAAATGGAAGAAACTAGAAAGAAATGGAAGAAACTGGAAGTTAAGAGTTCAAGCCCTAAACTCTAAATGTATCTAAATTCGTTGTTTAGATACTGTTTTTTGGAGTTTGAAAAATTAAATTTTAACTTTTTCTCCTTCCTGTTCCTGCCAACTTCTTTCTGTTTCTTATGAACATAATTAACATTATATATCCAAATTGATAACAAACCACCTCAAACACGAAGAAGATGAACTCTTTTTTAACCAAAACTAGAGTTTTTTTGCATATTTATTTAGATGATCATTTAATTGAGTGATTTTTTAACATCTTATTTTTTTTCTAATATATTCCCACTCTTCTTAGTTTTGTCCAGTTTTTTTCAATTTCTTTCAACTTTTTCCAATTTTTTCCAACATCCAATTTTGAATTTTAACTCAAAAGGACAAATCCTTATAGTAAATATATGATCAACTTGACCTCATTACGAGTCTCGCCGACACAAACGAGCTCATTAACCAAATTCTAATACATATGCTAACAGAAACAAATTCTAACTATTTACTTTGAATTTTTAAATGGTTTTTAACGAATCTCTTTGAATAAAAGTAAAAAAGTACGGAGTATAAAAATAACTATTTTAAGAACAAAATAAAAATATAATAACGATGTGATATAAAACAATGGTCTTAAAAGGCTTAGAACGTACTCGAGTATATTTTAGTATTTCATTATTTTTTATTTAGATTTTTTTTAAATTTTGTGAAGTTGATTTTTTTCACATACAAAGGGAGTGACTGTGAATACAATGAGCATTGCTAGGTTCACAAACAAAATTGCCACAAATTTTACAAACTTACTATGATTTAAATTCAAATTTTTAAACTATTGTAAACTATTTAATTTTTTTTTATTAAAGTTTACAAATAGTAAGTTTGTAAAGTTTGTGACGATTGTGTTTGTGAACGACGATTGTGTTTGTGAACCAAGCATTTCCTGTATACAATACGTGGTTATATATTTCCTTGGATTTTCCCAAATCCCAATGACACCCTCTCCTCTCTTGCTTGCATCTTTATGCTATACGACGACCTAGGTTCCGTTTGACATTAGCGTGAGCATGGATGGCCCGGAAGGTGTGCAAAGTGGCCAACCGCACAGGGCCTTTAAAATTTTAGGGCCCCATATGTTTAAATTCCTCATTAATTTTGAAGCATAAATACTCTAAAATATTAAAATAGGGCCCAAAATGTAAATTTTAGACCGGACCGATTTCATTTTTTCATTTTTCGAGGCCAGTCCTGAGCGTGAGCGTTTTAAAAGGCTATCTGGCAATAGCTTTTATAACTTTATTGTTAAGATTTTTCAAATTAATTTATATCATTAATACTTTATTCAAAATACTAACGTTAATTGAAAATGTCATTCCCAAACAAAACAGTAACGTTATAGATGGCCGCGGGGAGAATCTTTAATTTAAAAGGGGCATTTATAGTAGGGGTGTAAACGAACTGAATCGAAGCGAATACCAATATATTTGAATTTGTTTAATTTTTTCGAATACGAATTCGAACCTGAATATGAGACGAATTCAAAATATGATTTGAATAAGTATTTGATTAGTATTCGAATAGTTATCAAATCATAAACAAATATTTGAATAATCATACTATGTAATTTATATGATGGACCAACATCAATTTGTAATTTAACTTACGATACTCTTTATACTATACTATATTCCGTATATAAAAACATTAATACATCTGCATCTTACACAAATTATATTTTATAAAATATAACTATTAAAAATCATATGCTTTAGATTTTCATGTTACGTTAATTTATTGAATTCTTAGTATTTTAAAAACACTCTATACTATATTACTTTGCTTGACTTTTGATATTGAAAACATGGTCTGTGTATATATATACATATATACATATATTCGAATATTCGAATATCATCCGAATCGAATATATCCCTATTTGTATTTGTATTTGATTAATATTCGAATCAAAAATAATATTTGAATTTGAATTTGAATTTGAATAACGTGAATTTGAATCATCATATTCGAATACAAATCGCGAATCGAATTTAAAATATTTGATTTGTTTACATCCCTAATTTATAGAAGCTTGAAAACCCCGCATATACCTAACCTCATAAAGCATCTGTCAGGCAAGTATTGATCTGTGTACTATACTTATTCCATCCCATGAAATTTTTCTGAATTAACATAGGGGTACACCAACATGGGTACCCCATATGTACACCAAGCGAATACAAACACATACAGATATAAAATGTCTGTGCTGTACAGATATTTTGTGTCAGTGCGTGTCTGTATTGGCTTGGTATACATATGGGATACCCCATGTTGATGTACCTCTAGCATTGCCAATTTTTTTGAATTAACTTTAAAATGTGCAATTTTTAAATTATTTTCAAATTGTGACTCATGTATCATATACGTATTTTAAGGCGCACCTTTTTTCGTTTTTGAAATTTTAAATGGGACGAGAAAGTACTGCTCTTTCCGTCCGGGAGTATGTGTTCACTTTTGACTTTTTTCGGTCAAAATTTGGTAAACTTTGACACTAAATTAAATTAAAATTTTATTATATATTGATACAAAATAGTTTTATTAGATTTATTATATAAAATATTTTTAAAATATCATTTTACCTAATTAATATACAATACTAATTTTATTTTATTACTCCGTATAACTCAAAAGTTAAAAACAATTAACTGAAAAAAGTCACAACTGGACAAATAGACTTGAGTCTGAGCCTGATACTGGCTTGCAGGTGCCTGCCTTCACTTCATTATAATCATCAATACACATATATATATTGGTGGACAAACCAATTCTACGAACCATTAACGTCAACCGCTGCATGCCCCCGCCACTTGTTGCCCATAATAATTAATCACGGTTCTCCATTCTTATAACAAACAAAACTTGCAACAATTCAATTCTTACAAGAATGTAATCGGAGCACGCACGATGTTTCGTTCATAAAATTAATTATTCTTAACTTCCTAACTCCGCCAGTAAACCTACCCAACCTGGCCCCTCCATAACGCACCTCCGTGTCCCCTCCAATTGCACAGCTTTTCATTTTGGTCAAAAAATTGATAAAGTCAGCATAATGAAACCAGTGCAACCGGAGTAGATGCGGATGGGCGTTAGAGCCGGGCCGGCAAGGCGGGGTTTGAACTTCGTGGGTTTAAGTCTAGCTTTAAACCCAAAGAACTAGCTTTGGCCATTACAAAGAAATGATATGGCAAAAATTTCATACGTT